TATGGGGGAAACTATTTGGTTTATTATTATTGGTAAATATAATTAATTGATTTGTAAGAAATTGGATTGCATGGAAATAATTGGAATATTCATGTTCATATTGATTAATATACAAAAAAGATAGTTATATAACTAATTGATTTATATTAAAATGTTGAATTTGTATTAAACAACTGTAATATTACATAATTAACCAATGTGAGGTTGGATATAAAAATAGATGACAATGGGAAGGGGTATAATATAGAATAGAAGGGAAAAATTGAATTTGATTAAGATTAGAGATGAGGATGAAGGGTAATATTGGTTTCTTTAAAAAAATAGATGAGGAATAAATATAGCAAAAAGGAAATATAGAAATTGTAAATTTAATTGAAATGACTAAACACTGTTTAAATTTGTGAACCGGCCAAATACTCTGTTCAAAGAAAATAAATCGTATGTTTGTATGTGTGTTTCTAATTATTGCTATTTATTCATATTTGTTTTCTTTTATTCTTTAAAGTTTAACAATTCATTCTTTATCTTAATATCTTTATATTTGTTTGGAGTTGCCTTTCTTCCCTTTCATCTTTTTTATTGTACAGCAATCTTTCTCCTCAAACCTACCACCTCTCTCTTTTCTTTCCTTTGTACTTTCTCTTCCCCCACTCTTCTTCTCCTCACTACTTCCTCTTCCTTTCTCCTTCTCCTCCTCTCTTCCTCCCTCTCTTACCCTCACTCCTACTCTAATTTCCCTTCCCTTCCTTCATCCCTCTCTATTGCTGTATCCTTTTATGCACATGGATACTCAGAGGGCTGAAAAAGTTATTTTTGACTGGTCCTCGCACTTTTGACCAGTCCTTGAACTTACGACTGTCCTCACATTTTACGTTTTTGCCCTATCTTGTCACCATGGTGAAGAGAAGCAGTTGTGAAATGAGTGACACGGTTGTTAAGAATGCTACAATGGGCATAAATGATGACCAGTCATAAGTGCGAAGACCAGTCAAAAGTGCGAGGACCTGTCAGAAATCACTTTTTTCAGCCCTCTGGTAGTCCTTTTGTGCATATGGATTACTCAGAGGGCTGAAAAAGTTATTTTTGATTGGTCCTCGCACTTTTGACCAGTCCTCGAACTTATGACTGTCCTTACATTTTACGTTTTTGCCCTATCTTGTCACCATGATGAAGAGAAGCAGTTGTGAAATGAGTGACACGGTTGTTAAGAATGCCACAACGGGCATAAATGTGAGGATGGTCATAAGTGCGAGGACCAGTCAGAAATGACTTTTTTCAGCCCTCTGAGTAGTCCCTATGCAGATAGCCATGCCCACCCGGTCACATGACCAGCTAGCCACCCCCACCCGGTCACATGACCACCAAGCCACACCCCCAACTAAGCCACGCCCACAGAACCAGTTGTCAAAAAAATTGAATCCCACCACTGCAAAGAACTCTCTTTTGTTTCCCTAATTAACTTGACAAAATGTGTTAGACAATTATTGTCATTGTATATGGAATTTCCTGACACAATTCTATACATTAATCACTCATGGCTTCCATGAGGTGTATTTACACCACAGTCAGCAAAAGCCCTTGGTTCTTTTTCCTCCTGTTCTTCTCATAGGTGCCCAAACACAGTTAAAGTGTTCCCAGACTCTCATAATCAATCATAGGAATTTTAAAATCCTCACCATCTCCAACTATTTCTTTGCTCCTATCAAGTTCCAACTTTCATGGAGCCTTTTGCTGGGAAAACAGACGTCTGCCCAGACACACTGTGGAATCTGCTTGGCTGGTTCAGATGCACCACTGCAATTGTGTTCACTCTTCATTCATGTTTATTCATGAATTTAAGGAAAAAACCCCAACATTTTCTATATTGTGTAAAACTCCTGTATAGAATTCATTGGTTATAAGTTGAAGGCCATCAGCCCAGATGGCTTTAAAACAGATTAGGCAAATTCCATGAGCAGGATAGTCAAACAGAATGATTATATTGTATAGAGACCGGAAGCATCGCATTGAGACTGGCTAGAAGCATAGAGTGCTCCAATGAGCTCTGTGAAAAGCCAGCCAATCAAACTGCTGTCGGGGGGGTCTTCGGACTGGAAGCGTCCTGTAGGGATGGTGAAGAAGGAGAGGCATCTCAGACAACCAAGAGGTACAGGCAAGTTTCTCGATAGGTCAGAGACAGCTCTTCGGACCAGCGGCGGGGGGTGGCAGACATTGCAAAATGACCGCTCTGAAGCTGGGGCAACTGGACTAAGCTTTTGTGCAGGAGCAGTGTTTGAACAGAGTGCTGGAAGTGGGTGAGTGATTGGCCAACTCACAGGTAAAAGAAAATTTTGAATTTGGACATTAAAAGGTGTCCTGGAGCTGAAATGAGTAGCTAATTGGCATCTGGGAAATTCCATGGAGGGAGAAGGACAAAGCGGAGGTTATAATATCAAAGCCCAAGAAAGTTTTTGCATTTACAATTGTATTTGGAGAAACAAAAATATAATAAAAGAAAAGAACCCAAGGAACAGTATTTTTTATGTGAATTTAAAGTATTTTTGACACTTTTGATAATTAATTGTCTTAAGAGTACTGTGGATTTAAGAGAGGCATCTGCTGGTGAAGAGTACTGCAATACTTGGTGGAAGATAGAAGAGAAAGTACAGCTGTGACCTTGACTACCAGAAAAGATAATCTGGAAACTGTGAGAACTTTTTGGGAGTGTTTGTCTTTCTATGTTGCTTGGTTTCGATTTTCTATGGCTGTGGAAAATAATAAATTTTCAACTTGGAGTGGACTGGACAAATATTTGAATTGGACATCAGAATTTGAAAATAAAAAGAGACTATATGGATTTTAAGTTCTAATTAAATGTGATATAATTTAAAAGTTTTAAGGATTGGTTAAATTGGCAATATGGAATTTTGGATTATGAGGAATTAATTGAGATGTTTAAAAATATTTGTGCATCTCTAAAAGGTAATAAAAAGTCAGAAATTTTGCTGGAATACACAGAGCAGAAAATAGGAGAGAAGGTGGTAAAATAGAGCATAAATGAGGAGCAAGAAAATAATACTGAAGGAAAAGGAATTTTAGACAAAAAGCAGTGAGATGATATCACTGGGATTTACAGTGGCGCAAAAAGAGTGGACGGGGGAAATGTCCCCCAAAAAAGAATCAATCAAAGGGTAAAGAGGGAAATAGTGGGAAGAGATTAGGAGAAAACTTGGGGAGAACTATTCGAAAAATATACTTAAAAGTGAGAAAAAGGATTCAGAAGAAAAGATACAATACATATAAAAAGAAAAAAAAGAAGAAGTATTAAGAGAATGGGATAAAAGGAGAAAATTACCAAGAATTGGAATTTTGGAGAGACCAAGGAAAATGGTTAAAGAAGGGAAGATTAGTGGAAAAGAGGAAGGAAAATAAGGTATATGTTATAGATTTAAGGGAATTGTATTAATATTATTAATTGTGGATGGTCAACCAAGTTAAACGGTTTTTATGTAAGATGTGAATATGATGATATATATTGCTCATAGTAAAACAGAATAGCAGATGAAATGTGAAATGGTAGTTTGGTTTAATTTTGAAGACAATTTAAATTAAGAGACGAAGTTGAAATGTTAAAATGGAGAAATAAGATGATTAATTGATGTTATTGTAAGAGATTAGGAATTAAGGGTGGATAGTGATATTGTTTATGTACCAAGAAGAAAATAAGATAAGATAAAGAAATATAGAAAGAGAATATTATGGCTGAAATTGGAAACAGAGATATGATGTAAAATGGATTTGAAAAGAGACCAACATGGCAGAAGTTGAAATAATAAGATATGGTGAAAAATGATCAATTTGTGATAAAGGATTATATAAAAGAGATAAATATGGAAAAAATGGGAAGATTACAATAGATTATAAAGATGATTATGTATAAGATGTATGACGTGACCTGGTCAATACTCTGTTCATAAAATATTTAAGATGAAAGAAAAATTCTAATAAAACTTATTTACAAAAAACAACAACAACAACAAAAAAACACAATTATATAGTCCAGGGAAGATGTTGGACGGGGAACAAGGAAACCAGGTTCTAGTCCCCTCTCAATCATGGAAGTTCCTTGGAGAACTTTGAGCCATTCATTATCTCTCAGGCCAAAGTACCTCACAGGATTATTGTGACAGGAGGAGGGAGCAATAAGTAGGTCACTTTGGGTTTCTGTTACAAAAGGCACAATAACAGTGACCTAAATTATAAAATGGACCTCAGAAGGTTAGTTCGTGAGCCACACCCTAATGACCTCTGTGGGAAATCAGCTGTTAAACTATATCACTGCTGGTTGTCTCTCCTTCTCCTTCTCTCATCCCACACTTCTTCCTTCCAGGTCAAGAAAGTGAGTTGACTAACAATATGGGTGGGACATAGGTAACTATGTGGAACCACAATAAACACCTCCATTCTAAAATCAATCTTCTGTTTTCCCCTCTTACTTTAAAACTTGGCCTTCAGAGTTGGTGTGCAACTTGAACTTGGAGAGATGGAAACTAAATGAGTGAAACCCAAACATTTAGTTCCCAATGAAATATTGACACTCATTACTAATGGAAGGAGAAGAGCCTGATTGCCTACAAAGGGGCTCCAAAGCAGGGGTGAAATCCAGCAGGTTCTGACAGGTTCTGGAGAACCGGTAGTGAAAATTTTGAGCGGTTCGGAGAACCGGTAAATACCACCTCTGGCTGGCCCTAGAGTGGGACGGAAATGGAGATTTTGCAATATCCTTCCCCTGCCACGCCCACCAAGCCATGCCCACAGAACTGGTAGTAAAAAAAATTGGATTTCACCACTGCTCCAAAGCTATACAGAACGTTTTATTTCAATGCACCTTCTTGAACAATTTAGTTCTGAGTCATTTAGGGGCTCATCACCATATCCTGGGATGATTCATTCTGCTGTGTAGGAGGTGTGCCACCCACAACTCCTTCCAACTACTTTCCCAATCCAGACACCTGATTTCTTCCTCAGGAGTTGCGGTAAACACCTGCAACTAAGCTTACAGAAACAGGTTGAGAAGTAAAGAACAGAAATGTCTACCTCCATGTCTGGATCCGGCTAAAAACACCTCTCAGCTAACTATCCTATGGGCAACTTCAAGCACCAATTCACTACTGATGATTGTAACTAAGGAATAAGCTGGTCTCCTATCCCACTTGGGCAAAAATTATTTACTAACTTGGAGGCTGGTTTAGTAAAACCAGTTACACAATTGTATCAGACTGGCTGTTTGAAGAAATTTTGAAGACCTGTCACTTCCTCTTGCGAAGACTATAAATCTTGCTACTACCAAAAAATTAAATAGTTCTAAAAGAAGAGACCATCCCTTGCCAGCCATTGAAGGAGAGAAAGGTAATATACTTATTTTTCTTTTATTTTACTCTGCATATTGGCACTAAGGTTTTTTTTAAGGGAAGTTAAGAAAAAGGTGAAAGTGAATCCAGTCCCTATTGTTCTTGGGGGGTGGGTTATTATATTTATTAAATGTCATTTCTGTTTAACAGAGAACACTTTCCTTGATTATCTACATGTCCTTTGCTTAGTTTAAGTTCTTTCTGTATATCTAGCAATTATTAAAGGGTGGGAGGGAGAGAGAGAGAGGGAGGGAGAGTTTGGTCTAGTGGTTAAGGCACCAGACTAGGAACCAGAAACCATGAATTCTAGTTCTGCCTTAGCCATAAAAACCAGCTGGGGGATTTTCGGCTGGTCATTTTCTCTCAGCCTAACTCACCACACAGAGTTGTTGTTGTGGGGAAAATAGGAGGAGGAAGGAGTATTACATGTGTTCGTCCCCTTGAGTTGTTTATAAAAATAATAAAGGCAGGATATTAAATAAATGTATAAATTACATCCAGAAGCCAGAGACTAAAATAGAGAGGTTGGCTGGCTAGCAGGATAAACAACTGAATTTTCAAAAACGGCAATAAATCTCATTTCGTACAATGGGACAAAATTCTGGAATGATAAAAAACTTTTTTAAGTTTACAGAGTTACAGAATATCAGAGTTGGAATGGACCTTGGAGGTCTTCTAATCCACTTCTTGCTTAAGCAGAACATCCTATATACAATGACAGACAAATGGCTGTTCAATCTCTTCCCACAACTTCTGGAGGCAAGCTGTTCCACTAATTAAATTGTTCTCACTGACAGGAAATTTCTCCTTAATTCTAGGTTGGATCTCTCTTTAATAAGCTTCCATCCGTTATCTGCCCTCAGGGGCTTTGGAGAATAGGCCAATCCCCTCTTCTCTTGACAGCCCCGCAGAGAATAGAGTAGAATAGAGTAGAGTAGAGTGGAGTGGAGTGGAGTGGAGTGGAGTGGAGTGGAATGGAATGGAATGGAATGGAATGGAATGGAATAGAATAGAATAGAATAGAATAGAATAGAATAGAATAGAATAGAATAGAATAGAATAGAATAGAATAGAAGCTGGAAGGGACCTTGGAGGTCTTCTAGTCCAGCCTCCTGCTCAAGCAGGAGAACCTATAAGGTGGGTTTATACAGTATTGGAATAATCTCTTATTGGTTGTAACTTTTTTCAGGTACACCGACTCGTCCTACTGTTGCAATGCCTTGTCTGCTATGCCCATCTCTCTTGTGCTGCCTCCTCCTCCTCCTTCCCTTTCCATTAGGCTCCATTTCTGCTTCTAAAGGAGACACAGTGGTCAGAACCAGCAGTGGCCCCATTAAGGGCAAGCAGTTCCTGGCCGGCATTGGATCTGTGACAGCCTATCTAGGCATTCCTTATGCTAAGCCTCCATTGGGGAAGTTGCGTTTCCAGAAACCTCTTCCACATCAGCCATGGAAGCAAATATTGGAAGCCACCAGTTTTGGCAATTCCTGTTCTCAATTTATTTTCCGGGATGTCCCTGAAACAGATATATGGTCTCCTAAAACACCACTATCAGAAGATTGCCTTTCCCTCAACATCTGGGTGCCACAGCCACAACCTTCTTCACCAGTCCCTGTTTTGGTCTGGATACATGGAGGGGGATATTTATTCGGCACGTCTTCTCTGGAGTTGTTGAACGGGGCATCCTTGTCTGCTGCTGAGAACGTCATTGTGGTCACCATCAATTATCGCTTGGGAGCCCTGGGCTTTCTGTACTTGCCACCAGCGGCTCCAGGGAACCTAGGCTTATGGGACCAACAGCTGGCCCTGAAGTGGGTAAAAGAGAATGCAGCTGCCTTTGGGGGAGATCCTTCTCGGGTGACTATTTTTGGCCACAGTGCTGGAGGATCTTCTGTGAATTTCCATCTTCTTGCACCAAAAAGCCAGGACCTTTTTGCCCAAGCGGTGATCCAGAGCGGAACAGCCAATGCCTATTGGGCTTGGAGGTCTCCTGAGGAAGCCAAACAAAAATCACTGGAATTTGTTCATCTGCTAGGTTGTTCAGAGGACAACAATATCAGCATAGTGCATTGCCTGCAAACAAAAAATGTTTCTGAACTTATTCGGCATGAAATATCTCTGTTCTTGAAAGGTGGCTTCCTTGTCAATTTTCCCTTCAGGCCAACCACAGATGGAGAGTTTTTGCTTGGTGATCCAGAAAAGCTCATGGAGGAGGGGCAAATTCAGGTCAAACCAGTCCTCATGGGTAAAACCTCTGATGAAGCGGCTTCTTATGTCCACTCTGTTTTCCCTAACACCACCCACAATCTCATCAATCAAGAGCAGCTTCTGAAAGGGATACAACTGTTGGCGCCAAATGCAACTGAAGATTTTATTAGGACTATTGCACTGAAGTACAGTGAAGGAAATCACGGCCCAGCAAAATACCGCTCTGCTCTGTCCCACTTCTATACAGATCGGATATTTGCATGTCCATTGAGGGAAGCTGCAGGAAATATCAGGAAAACTGGGAGTCCTGTATATGCCTATTTATTCGCACATCGCCCTTCATGGTCAGTTTGGCCTGAATGGATTGGAGCAATTCACAGTGATGAGATTCCTTTTGTTTTTGGAACCCTTCAATCAATGCTGCCTGTCAATCAAACATACACAGAGGCTGAAGCCAGACTGAGCCGTAAGATGATGCATTACTGGGCAGAGTTTGCCAGAACTGGGTAAGTGCAGTGGTGGGATTCAGCCAGTTCGCACCACTTCGGGAGAACCAGTTGTTAATTTTCTGAGCAGCTTGGGGAACTAGTTGTTGGAAGAAATCGTTAGGGCAGAGAACCGGCTGTTAAATTATTTGACACTGAGTAAGTGGTTCATTTTATTTCAAAAATTTGTATTTTAAATCCAAAGAAAGCCTTTCCATTCAACAAATGCACCTTATATCTAAAGCAATGAAGCCATAAAGTAATGCTTGCTATTCCTTTGCGTATGTTTACAGGTTGTGTTAATACAAGTAGTTCATGATTTACGACCATAGTTAGAACTAGAATTTCTGTTGCTAATCAAGACAGTTGTTAAGTGAATCATACCCAGTTTTAAAACCTTTCTTACCACAGTTATTAAGCAAATCACTGCGACTTTTAAGTACAATATATGATCATGTGAATCCAGTTTCCTCCACTGACTTTGCTTGTTGAAAATCAGCTGGGAAGGTTGCAAATGGCGATCAAGTGACCCTGGGACATTGCAGCCATTGGAAATACATGCCAGTTGCCAAGCAGCCAAATTTTGATCACGTGACCGTGAGGATGCTGGAATAGTTGTAAGTGCAAGGACTAGTTGTAAGTCACTTTTTTCAGTTCCATTGTAGCCTTGAATGGACGTTAAGTGAATAGTTGTAAATCAAGGACTACCTGTACTGGAAATAGCCTTGAAATTTTTAAGAATTCTTAATATTGTCACTTATAGATAATTGTTCTTTTATGAGTTCAGTGGTATCACACATATTCCAGGGTACATTATTTCTCCAAGTGAAATAAAGAAGGCAAAAGGGAGATAAGAAACAGAGCATTACTCTACCATTAAGAGAACAAGCAAAGGCTTGCAAGGGAGTAAGTAGTGAAGGGGAAACTCACAAGATGGAGGGTGCCCAGGGTGTGAGGATTGGAACTGGCAGATCCAAGAGTCTATGAGGAGCTGACCTGGGTTTGGATCAGCAAGGAGGAGACACAAGAGATTTCACCAAGCCAAACTCCACCCCTCCCTCAAAGTCCCCTTTGGGAGTTCCCCTTGGTTGTAGTTTGTCAAGTCAAAACCAGTCTCTTTGGAAAAGAGCTACATCAGAATAACAGAGTTGGCAGGGACCTTGGAGGTCTGCTAGACCAACCTCCTGCTCAAGCAGGAGACCCTATTCCACTCTGGACAAGTGGCTGTCCAATCTCTTCTTAAAAACCTCCAGCAATGAAGCACTCATAGCTTCTGAAGGCAAAGCTGTTCCTCTGATCAATTGTTCTCACTGTCAGGAAATTTCTCCTTATTTCTAGGTTGGTTCTCCCTGTGATTAGTTTCCATCAATGTCCTTTTCTTCCTCCTTAGGAATCCCACTGGGTCAGCAGCCAGCAAGGATAAGTGGCCACTCTATAATGCCACAGAGCAGAATTTCTTCCTTCTTAATACTGAGCCATTCCAGGAAAGGGTGAAAGAGCACTGTGATTTTTTAAAGAGCCTTTTTTCAAAGGCTGAAGAGACACGTAAGTTCAGCTATTAGTTCTGCCTTTGGAAGGGAGTAGAGGTTGATGAAAAAGATATTTTTAAAAATCATTTATATATCAAATATAGAGATCGCCCATCTCACTCATAGAGCAATCTCTAAAAATTGATTTTATTGCCACTCTTTGCTGAAACATACTCACTTGATTTTACACTGGGCAATTTTGTAATGCTAGTGATAAATTTTGTAGAGCAAGCATATTTCATGACGTCCCAAGAGTTGGGTCTCTAGTAATGTCCTCTAAGTCTTAGTTGCTCACATAAAGGTAACAACAACAACAACAATAACCAATCCCTAAACATCTGGATCACCTCTTGACCACGATCAGCATTGACAAAATTCCTCTCAGTCAATTGCAAAAGGCAGCTTTATTTGGAATAGCTTACATCCTGCAATGATAACTTTAATACCATCAAAAAATATCTGCCCATCCCAGCTTTTTTGGAAGGACAGAGGAGGTAGACAAAAAATGTCACATCCAATCTAAACATCTGGCTGACCATGTGACGAACAATAATGTTTTGATACATATTTAATAGATATATATTATGCCGTGAATCATGGAATCCTCAGAATCCTACTTCTAGATTCAGATTCTTTAGTGATAAGATGTACACCTTATCTTGATATTTCATTTTTTTTGTTCTGCAGAGCAGTCCAAAGGTGATTCTGTTTCATCGGACTAGGAAGAAGACATCAGGTAGGAATTCAGTGCTTGGTTGTAGTAATGGCTGGCAATTGGGATCAAGATGGATGATTTCAGAAGGGGACTAGACTTCTTTCTAAATAGTAATTTCACATCGGCATTTCAAACCATTTTTAATTAGCACTTTTGTGGCTCAGCTTCACTGTGTGAAATGGAAGCTCTCCAAGCTGTTGCCAAAGGCCTTTGTGGAAGAGGAACCTGGAGAAACCTCTAGATCTTAGCATAAACAAATACAGATCTTGGGCATAGGGAAGGAAGGAATGAGCCACCAAGAGTAACTTACAGAGATTCTGCAGTGCTGAAAAAGAGAAAGAGAAAGCATGAGAAGAGAAATAACGGTTGTGTGTTTATTTCTCTCAGGAATCAATCAAGACTTATCTTTAAAGCCTGGGCAAATGATGACAAGCTGCACCAGAGAACCTTCCAGAAGCTTCCATTGTCCTTTCAGGGACTGACTGGTGGGAACTTGGAAGACAAATAAGGAGACAACTAAAACCCACATCACTTTTGCTGTTAAAATAATAAATTTCTTGGAGTAATTTGTTATATCTTGATTTGAGAGAGGAGTTTAATTAATCCAGCTCCCTCAAAAAAGAACTTCTTAATAAATACTGTTTGAATTCTTAGGATAAAAATCCTTTTATTTTCATAATGAAGGGAAATAGTAATAAGGATATGATAAATAATAGTAGAATATAATATACTGGAATACTATAATTAGTAGAAACTTGTTATTCTGTAAACATTTGTTTCCTGTAGCACATATATGCTACATTATGCTTTTGTATTTGTATTCCCTGAAAGTAACTTCCTGCAACAAACATATGCTGTATTAGGCCTCTGTAAAGTATCTGGAATTTGTCAAACATATGTTCCTGCCATCAATTTGAATCCACATCAATCTTATTCCTGTTTTTCTCCTGCCATCCAAAGCCTGGTACCAATTTCAAAAATCTTTACTACTGGTTTTATGGGCGTGGCTTGGTGGGCGTGGCATGGTAAGAATACTGTAAAATCTCCATTCCCACCCCACTCTAGGCAAAGGATACTGTAAAATCTCCTTTCCCTCCTCAATCCAGGGGAAAGTTACTGCAAAATCCCAATTCCCTCCCCTGGAAGACAAATAAGGAGACAACTAAAACCCACATCACTTTTGCTGTTAAAACAATAAATTTCTTAGAGTAATTTGTTATATCTTGATTTGAGAGAGGCTTTTAATGAATCCAGCTCCCTCAAAAAAAACCCTCTTAATAAATACTGTTTGAATTCTTTTATTTTCACAATGAAGGGAAATAGTAATAAGGATATAATAAACAATAGTAGAATATAATATACTGGAATACTATAATTAATAGAAACTTGTTATTCTGTAAACATTTGTTTCCTGTAGCTCATATATGCTAGATTATGCCTTTGTATTTGTATTTTCTGTAAGTAACTTCGTGTAACAAACATGCTGTATTACGCCTCTGTAAAATATCTGGTATTTGTCAAACATATGTTCCTGCCATCAATTTGAATCCACATCAATCTTATTGATTGATATAGCATATGTTTGTTGCAGGAAGTTACTTATAGGAAAGTTACTTTACTACCGGTTCTGTGGGTGTGGCTTGGTGGGTGTGGCGTGGGAAGGATACTGTAAAATCTCCATTCCCACCCCACTCCAGGGGAAGGTTATGCAAAATCCCCATTCCCTCCCCACTCCAGGGGAAGGATATTGTAAAATCTCCATTCCCTCCCCAATCCAGGGGAAGGTTATGCAAAATCCCCATTCCCTCCCCACTCCAGGGGAAGGATACTGTAAAATCTCCATTCCCTCCCCAATCCAGGGGAAGGTTACTGCAAAATCCCCATTCCCTCCAGATCAGCCGGGATTCAAGAGGCAGAGAATAGATGGGGGCAGGGCCAGTCAGAATTTTTACTACCAGTTTTCTGAACTACTCAAAATTTCCGCTACCGGTTCTCCAGAACTGATCAGAACCTGCTGAAACCCACTTCTGCCTGGTACTTATCTCAGTTTGGTGCTGCATACATCATCCGGGGGATAATTTACATCTCAGCCCTAATTTACACCTTTGATCTGGGTTGTTGGGCGCTCAGTTTCCTTCCCTGCAGCACTAGGGGGCCTAGTGGCCAATTGGGAGAACAAAGGAATACTCAAGGATAAATAAGAGGCATTTATCCTTTGCAGGGCTATTGGATACAAACCTAAATTAGGAGGCAGCAATTGGGGACTTAACTGGTGTTTCTAACAGTATAAAAAGGATGCCATACCTTCTCTGAGGTGTGGCTTTTCCTTACAGGTCTCTTTTTGTATATGTTTACCCAGCTTTTCACTTTTGATTAACATTAAACGCTGATTCTTTCTCATAAGCCTCCACTTCAGTTCTTTTGGCTCATTGTTGGCTTAAGCACATAGCCAGACCTTACAACAACAACTTAAGAACTTGATGCAATGTGGAAAAACAAATAAAGGAAACAGGAATTCTGCCAAATTTTTCTATAACCTAATGACTGACATGTCTTTTTCATAGGGCTGGTAAATTTATTAGATCTTAAATCTAATAAATGGTCAGGTTCGATATTCTAGGTCCGTGATGGTGAACCTATGACACATGTGTGACAGGTGGCAAGCATAGCCATATCAGTGGGCACGCAAGCTCAGCTCCGTCGTGCATGCGCACGCTGGCCAAATGGTTGTTGGGCCTCCTGGGCCCACCAGATATAGGGAAACAGGCTGTTTCCTGCCTCAAAAGGGCCTTGGGGGGGGCGGAGGCTGTTCCCAGCCTCTAGAGTCTCTCTAGGAGTCTGGGGAGGACGAAAACAGCCTCCCCTCCCCCGGAGGCCCTTCGGAGGCCAGAAACAGCCCCTTTGCCAAGGAGTAGAGGAGTCCTCCACTCCTCTACCCGCAACAGAATACCTTATGCCACCAGACTTGAAATTTTGAGCTTAGAACTTCGCCAGCTGATTTTCGGGCCTGATAGGTTCACCATCATAGACATAGACTATACCAGTGGTGGGTTGCCCCCGGTTCGGACCGCTTTGCAAGAAATGGTAGTAAAACCGGTGAGAGGCCCTGCCCACTGCCCCGGATGTCGTCATTGATGATCTGCGCATGCACAGAAACAAGGAGTACGGGTGAGCAAAGATTGTGCATGCGTGATCCCATTCCAAACCAGTAGTAAAGGTAAGTAGAACCCACTCCTGTACTGTACCTGTGCATTTTGTTTTTCTTGCCTCAATGTAGAACCTTACTTTTTTCACCATTGAATTTCATTTCATTTCATTTTATTTATTTATTTCTTCAAGCATGTATTAGATAACAGATATAAGTATAAATATAATTATGAGTACATGAAATGGGAATATTAGGACAGGGACAGTAGGCACACTGGTGCGCTTATGCACTCCCTTTACAGACCTCTTAGGAATGGGGTGAGGTCAACAGTAGGCAGTCTTAGGTTAAAATTTTTGGGGTTTGGGATGAAACCACAGAGTCAGGTAGTGCATTCCACGAATTAACAACTCTGTTACTGAAGTCGTATTTTCTGCAATCAAGTTTGGTGCATTTACCATAGGTTTGTATCTATTATGTGCTTGTTTATTGTTGTGGTTGAAGCTGAAGTATTCATTGACAGGTAGGACATTGTAGCAGATAATATTATGTACTACGCTTAGGTCAGACCAGTGGTGAAATCCACATTTTTTTAATACCGGTTCTGTGAGCGTGGCTTGGTGGGCATGGTGTGGTGTGGTGTGGTGTGGTGTCGTTTGGTGGGCTTGGTGTGGTGGGCGTGGCAGGGGAAGAATACTGCAAAATCCCCATTCCCTACCCACTCCTGGGAGAAGGATATTGCAAAATCTCCATTCTCACCCCACTCTGGGGCCAGCCAGATGTGGTACTTGCCAGTTCTCCGAACTACTCAAAATTTCCACTACCGGTTCTCCAGAACCTGTCAGAACCTGCTGGATTTCACCCCTGGATTGGATCCTTCATTTGCTGAAAGGCCTGGAGAGCACTTCCATAGACTCTATTGTCCTTTTATGCTGCGAATTGTAAATCACAGAAGGTCAATGTAGCATTTCCCTTTGTTGGGTATTTGGAGAGTTGTCGTGTTTGTATACCTGAAGATTGGGAAAGGCTGGAATGGACAATTTTAGAGTAAACAGATTGTGGTTTGGCCAGATCTAAGGATGTTTCCCAATATTTGTTTTGCTATGGCAGATATTTCACAGGCTTCCGTAAAGGAGAAGGCTCATGGGGAAACATGAGTTGTGACAGTGTGATGCAAATACTGTCACTTACACATCCTTAAATTGTAAGGGAAGAAATGTTTCAGCAGGCAAGAGTGAGTGCCACTGACTGTGAAGACCATATATGAGAGGGTAAGGTTTATGATGCTATGCCTTGGTCCATCATTTTTGTTCCCATCAGTTAGTAGCTGATGCCCATGAGTGAAAACCACCTAAATCAACCTGTGCGCCAACCTATGTGTAACATCCGTGTATTTCTTAACATGTCATCAGAAAGAAAATTCATTGAAAACTCAGCATTTTTCACAATGTGATCCAAGCAATCACATACAAAATACATTCCTCACACAACAATCATGTTCATATAACACATTAGAGCCACTTCAGTTTTAATGTGTCAGCCAACCACATTTTATCACTAACTGTTGGGTGAATCCAAACCTATATGGTTAGGTTATGGCTTAGTGTGTCGCCCAAACTCAGAAACTGTTTAAGGCAGGGGAGAAATGCTCCTGGTTCGGACCCGGATCGCCTGATCCGGTAGCAATGGTGGCGGGTAGTTCCGAGAACCGGTAGCAAAAATCCCTGCCCCCCACTATACCCATCTGAGCCGCACGATCATCAGAGGCTTTTTTTTTTACTTTCAAAAGCATTTTTTCTACAACCTCTTCGGCTGAAAAAATGCTTTTAAAAGTAAAAAAAATAAACCTCTTGATGATCGCGCTGCTCAGCTGGGATCGTCAGAGCCTTTTAAAAGCATTTTTTTACAACCTCTTCAGCCGAAGAGGTTCTAAAAAAAAAACTTTTAAAAGGAAAAAAAAGTTGGCCACGCCCATCCAGTCACATTACCACCACCACCAAGCCACGCCCACAGAACCGGTAGTAACAAATTTTGCATTTCACCACTGGTTTAAGGTATTTGTAGGATTTTGTTTGTTTGATTAATTATTGAGCTTTATCTAGTATGATGAGCCAACAAAAATCTTTTATAATTACAGCAAAAATGATAGATAAATGAATCAAGCAAGCAAGCAAGCAAGCTAATCATGTAAAATAAGTGTTCAATTAAACTATGGAAAACATCTGAAAAAATATCCAGTATGAGCTGATATTTACTGACCAGCAAAGGGATTTTTTTTTTTAATTTTGATTTATATGCCGCCCTTCTCCGGAGACTCAGGGCGGCTTACAATGTGCTCAGCAATAGCCTTCATCCTTTTGTATATTTATACAAAGTCAGCTTATTGCCCCCACAATTGGGTCCTCAATTTACCTACCTTAGAAAGGATGGAAGGCTGAGTCAACCTTGAGCCTTGGCGAGATTCGAACCTGCAGTAATTGCAGGCAGCTGGTCTTAATAACCAGCTTAATAACACGATGCCTTAGACCACTGTACTACCAACAGGGTGCCTTAGACCACTGTACTACCAAGGCTCTCAGCCACTTTTGAGTGGCTGAGATGAAATATCTACAGAATAACTAAGTGCTATAGAAAATAATGTACTTATAAAATACGTCCCTATTTGGAATAGTATGTTTGATTTATTAAACTTCCTCAGAGATATTATGGAGAAAGTACAGAAAATAAAGCTGGAACAATTTTCCCATAATGCAAATAGGGCCACTGTACAGTAACAAAGCAGCCAGTTTGGTGTAGTGGTTAAACATCAGGCTAGAAAATGGGAAACCATGAATTCTAGCCCTGACTGGGCATGAAACCTTGGCCCAGTCATTTTCTCTCAGCCTTAGGGAGGAAGCAATGGCAAACCACTTCTAAAAAAAACCTGGCCCAAAAAACCTGCAGGGATTTGTCCAGGTACCCTCTAAGAATTAGACACGACTGAACGGAATAAAGGAGCTTATGAGCTTTCCTACCTCATACAGTATGCTAATATAAAAAGGAACCTAATATGATGATGATGTTACCCATTCAATCGTGTCTGAATCTTGGGAATTCTATGGGACAAGTCTCTATATATCTTCCAAGAACCTAATATAGGTTCATTTTAGACCCACCAAAATTTAGTATTTTTATATGGTATGCATTTGTAGCAGCACAAGACTCATTTTGCCCCCCCCCCCCAGAATTACAGATGGATTGGACCAAAGTCTTGCAGTGAGATTTGATGGTAAATTAAACCTCCCACCCAATTCCATTCCCCCACTCACAGTCTATTATCTCATTTGTACCCTATCCTTGGACCAAGTGCCTGTCTCCTCCAGGGAGCTTCCATGTTAAAGAGAGACTAGAACAGGGGTGTCAAACTCAAGGCCCGCGAGCTGAATCTGGCCCGTGGGGTGTTTAGATCTGGGGGGGGGTGCCCAGGAAACAGTGAAGGACTGGCCCACAGTGCCTCTGCCAATGAACATGGAGCTTGGGAGGGCGGCATGTGGCGCTGGCAGAGGGTTGAAGGAGGCCATCACAGCAAAAATGGGGCTCGTGAGCCCATTTTTGCTGGTAGAGCACTTGGGCCACCACCGGTGCCCCCAACACGAGTGATGTCGAACTGGCCATGCTCACCCTGGCCCTGCCTATTCCAGCCTTCCAAGATCAAACACAACCCTGTTGTGGCCCTCAATGAAATTGAGTTTGACACGCCTGGACTAGAACCTGGGTTTCCTCATTCCAGTCTAGTACCTTCACCATTACACCACTCTGGCTATAGGACTGAGAAGAAGGGAATGGACAGAGTCCCCAAACAGATTTTGTGGTGAAGGGGCACTAGAACCTGGGTCTCCCCATTCCTAATCCAGCCCCTTCACCCCTAGGCCTCACTGGGTCCTGGACAAAGGCAGAAGAACTAGCCCAGGGAAGGTCCATGGTGAAGGTGTTACAAGAATATGGGTATTCCTGTTCCTATCCCTTCATGCCATACTGTTCTTATCCACGCTCTCTCAAATGGGTGCCATGGTCATGGCTGTGAAGGAAAGGTTGCAATCTCTTAAATCTACTCACTTTAAGAGAAAGTTTGGTAAGCAGAGACATGGGAGAGGTGCATGAAGTGAAGCATGGTGGGCTGTGAAAAGAAAGGATGGGGAATTGTTTTTCGTCCTCCCTCAAAATACTGGAATTCAGGAGGATGGTCCACAGATTGTGCAAACAAATGAACTTGGCCGTT